TAAAATAGTTTTTCTATATAAAGCTAATAATTTTTTTATTTCATTAAAATACAAGCCAGTGAACCTGCCTTCCTCTACCGAGTTCAAATGTCACATGAACAATCCGTGGCCCTAATTTCAGCCTTCATTGTGGCTATCCCAGTATAATCCTTTCTCTAAGCCATATATCTTCCCTGAAGCCATACTTTCCCTAATCTTTTCTTCCATTACATTGTCTTCTCAGACAATTGTAAATCGAAATCTACATATCAGTGAGTGGAAATACAGCATTCTTCTACTGATATCTGAATGGTAAAACAATATTAACCAATTACTAGTCTGACAGTACTTATCTATGATTGGTCAGCAAATAGTTCAATCTGAAGCTCAATGGTTAAGAAAAAATGAAGATTATTCCAAAAAATGGCACCATACAGTCTAAGATTCAAGCCAACACAGTTGGGAAATAACAGATTTAGCATTTGTAATTAATGTATGTAGTGTATGATGATCTAATTTAAATTAGTCAAGACACAGAAAATACATAATTGGGACTTATTCCCAACAACAACAAACCTACGAACTCTCACAATCAATTAAACATAAGCAAAAAAAATCACATAAACAGCGAGTTAAATTCAAAAGAAAAAGAAAAATGTATTTTTCAAGTAGAAAAGAAACATTACTGACACAATCAACATGTATGTATCTTACATACTTCCTTACTGACACAATTAACATGTATGTACCTTACATACTTCCTTACTGACACAATTAACATGTATGTACCTTACATACTTCCTTACTGACACAATCAACATGTATGTATCTTACATACTTCCTTACTGACACAATCAACATGTATGTATCTTACATACTTCCTTACTGACACAATCAACATGTATGTATCTTACATACTTCCTTACTGACACAATCAACATGTATGTATCTTACATACTTCCTTAATGATGATCTGTGAACATACTTGAAAAAAGTATGTTTTTGTACAATCAAACACATCTTTTTCCTGTTTCTACTTCAAAGAAATATTAAATGTACACATGTTATATTCCATCTTTACTACTGTACAAGTTTTGGGCTACTTAGCAGTACTCACCTAGAGAAACAGAAGACTAACCCTGTATGTGATCAAAACATTATAAAAACTTCTAACTTATAAAAAAAAACATACATTATTGATAACAAAACAATCATGTAAAAAGTAACACATACAAAAAACTTTTATCAGAAACTTATAAACATGCATAAATAATGGATGCATATATACATCTACTCAGGGGCCGGTTTAAGGTTTGGTGGGGTCCTAGGCCCAGGTAATAAATCACTCTTTCCTCTATTCTACTAGTTTTACAAACTATAATTATTTTAGTAGGGTGGCCATTTGGGCCCTTATGTGGTCAGGGCCCTAGACTCAGGTAATAACTCACTCTTTCCTCTATTCTACTAGTTTTACAAACTATAATTATTTTACTTGGGTGGCCATTTGGGCCCTTATGTGGTCAGGGCCCTAGACTCAGGTAATAACTCACTCTTTCCTCTATTCTACTAGTTTTACAAACTATAATTATTTTACTAGGGTGGCCATTTGGGCCCTAATGTGGTCAGGGCCCTAGACCCAGGTAATAACTCACTCTTTCCTCTATTCTACTAGTTTTACAAACTATAATTATTTTACTTGGGTGGCCATTTGGGCCCTTATGTGGTCAGGGTCCTAGGCCCCAGGCCTATTCATTAATGCGGTACTGCATATACTACCTTCGAAGCTCTTATAATTATGAGGCTTGTAGTTGTACATCAAAGTACTATTACCAATATAAAATATTCTTAACAGCCATAAAACTTAAGATTTCATCATCAAGCTGAAGGCTAAGAAAATATAACAACATAGTTATAGCTGAAGGCTAAAGAAAATATAACAACATGGTTATAGCTGAAGGCTAAAGAAAATATAACAACATGGTTATAGTTGAAGGCTAAAGAAAATATAACAACATGGTTATAGCTGAAGGCTAAAGAAAATATAACAACATGGTTATAGCTGAAGGCTAAAGAAAATATAACAACATGGTTATAGCTGAAAGCTAAAGAAAATATAACAACATGGTTATAGCTGAAAGCTAAAGAAAATATAACAACATGGTTATAGCTGAAAGCTAAAGAAAATATAACAGCATAGTTATACAATTTAGTCATAGTACTATCTGATACTAATATAGAGAAAAACTAAGAAACAGCCACAACAGAAAACTAAAATTTAAATAAACTTGAAAAAGGAATAGAACACTGTTGGGTTAAACATCTTGGAAGTATAACTGTTTTCAAGACTGTGACCTTAAATAGCTCCAACATGACAAAATTTGACAAAATAATCATGAAGTCAAAAAATAAATAAAAAGTTTACCTGAGAATGTTAAAACCTAGAAGAAAGTTTACAGGTAACTAATGGCAATATGAAAATGCTTTGAACAATTTAGTACATGGATGTGATGTTTACTCTATCAGCCATCTGGAGCTAACTTCATGTAAAATTTTTAAACATTTGATGTAGAAAACATTCATGATCACATAATATGCTAATAATTAACATGTCAAGAAAAATATATCAAACTGCAATTAGGCAAAAATATAACAAAACGGTTTTGAAAAAAAACGTTAGTTGAAAAGTAATATTTATGTTTTATTATAAAATAAGAAATGTGCACAAGAAAAATTGTTCAGTCACAAAAACCTAAAAAGAGTCAATGATTAAACTTACACATAGGTTTTAGCTGAGACACTAGCTCATCTTTTGTCCATTCCTTTTTATCAGTGCAGTAACTGAGATTAGGTGAGATGAGGATTTTGTTATCATCGCTGTAGGGGACATTCAAGTAATGAACCAACACAATGTCAGGATTCTGCAAAAGATAAAGAATATTGGACTACTTGTATGTTTTGTAGTGATAAATCATTAACTAGAATTAAATTATATACAATTAGATATGCATTGTTTTTGTTGTGGATGTGTCATAAAAAGCCTGTTGCTACGTCTACAGAAGGGTGGTAACACAAAACGTCACCTTATCCAGTTACCTTGCAATAGTTTTTATGGGCATTACTTCATCTTTCATACTTGTGCTGCCTTTTTGACTTAAAACTGAGAACCTTTACACTCAAATATTTTAAACTTCTGACTCCCAAGTAGCATCAATATCAAAACAGGAGTGTTGATTAGTACAGAATGAGACAAAAAAAAAGTAACAGATGCCAGGTATTATAAATTTTTTATGAGAGAGTGTTAAGAATTCCAGCATTCAATTGTTCTCCAACTGTCAAAGCACCCCTAGGTAGCAAAATTGTTAGTTAGAAAATGTTTAGATTATGAATGGATGATTATATCCTGATCAAGTAAACAGCGAAGCTTTACTAAACTACAGAAATGCTTTCAAAACACACAAATGATAAATTCTCACTTTGATCAACTAACCACGGTATATTGTACAATTGAAAAACTTTTTTCCATCACAGCATCCTACTTTAGTGTATTACCACCGAGTAACAGCATCCTACTTTAGTGTATTACCACCGAGTAATTACTTCCTTCAAAGTGTTGTACATACAACTAACACATGAGCCTCAGCAGTTCATACTGCTAGGGTGTGAGATACTGTTATGATTGCAAGGTAAATCATGAACAGGGTTCCAGTTTTTGTTATTTACAACTTTCACACAGTACAGTCTAAGTTAACATATGCAAAGGTGTTACCATTTCTCTTGATTTAATAATCATTACATTTTATTACAAACACACTACTTGTTAAGATCATAAAATCAAAACTCACAGGAATGGACATAAATCATAATTAATATCAGACCTTGTGTGAAACATCTAAAGCTTGATAAATTATGTAGTCCAACCATAGTTTAATAACTTTACTCTCAAATGAATCTATATTAGCTTTATAACAGTGGAAGCCATAATATAAAACTGTGTATTAATTCAATAGACTTCTATTAACAGTTAGGCCTTAGCACAAGTCATATGTTGGATTTGTTTATAATAAACAATTACTCATTACAGTATCATCTCCAGAAAATACATACAAATAAAAATGTACATTTAAATATAACTACATCTATAATGTTCTATTATAAGCACATCATTTTGTAAAAACATTTTACAAATTTTTATCTATCAGTGTATCTTAATAGTGTATTTTGCTAAGTTTCACTGTTAGCATTTGGTTTCTCTATACCAAAAGTATTTTGAAATGAGACTTTCCATTAAAAGCAAATTCAACGGAAAACAGAAACAAACAGACATTATACAAGTAATCTTGAAATTCTTGCACTACTATATAAAAGAAATTATCTATGCTAATATGTATAACCATTGCTTCTTCATGTTCCATAAAACTGTTTAAAAATTATGAATAAATCATTATCTACAATTTACCATTAATACAAAGTTTAAAAACATTTGTTAAACACTGTTTTCTTTTCTAGCACACTTCAGTGCAGCTACAGGTAAACTAAAATCTCATTAAACCAATGATAAATTCAAAAACTGTTAACAAACCTGGAGAAGCCAATAACATCGTCGATGAAAAGTTGGAAGAATTGCTGAGTGAACATAACATCCATAAATACACTGGAAAATAATATAAATTTTATGTAGACAAGAAATTCTCAAATAATGACATAAAACACTTGTAGTTCAGTTTTCCATATAAGTATTATAATAATTATATTATATTATTATAATAATTATATTATATTTAACTATAGCATTATACCAAGAAACACTACGTACAAGAAGCAAGCTGGGTTTTTTGTTATAAAATATTTGGTGGATTATGTTACAACTGCTCTGCCAATCCCTAGCTTGAAGTTACTAACCTGAGAATGAACCATAATGCAGTCAGAAGTCCTTCATAAAATCAACAGCATAAGCATAACTTTAAAAGAGATTTCTAAATCTATCTGAACTGTGCCTAAAGTTTTCACATCAGCTCAGCTCTTACACACAGTAGTAAAATAATTTCAATAAGAACTTTAAGTGAACAAAGCAACAGCATACGTATCAGCCAGTGATCTCGAAATACTTGTTTTCAATAGACAGTTGCTGTTGAAAGAGACAAATTTTTGTGTTTATTTAGCCTTCTCGATGATAGAGATTAAAATGACTTACAATGTCCTTAAACCATGCTATAAAGCTCACAAGATTGTAATTTAAGAGCATAGGAGTTTTAATATGCTGCTAATGGAAAATGAAGATTATACAAACACTCATTAAATCATCTGATTTCGATTAGCTGAAAGACATAAACAGAAGCCCACTTAAGTGATAAAAGGACTTTTTCATTGCCCTCATCCTCCAGCTCCTGCACTTATCTATGCAATCTCCAATAGTCTCAAAAGAATGTATGAAACTCCAAGAAAGCATTTCATGACATTTTTCATAATGTCTTAAGTGAAAAATACTGTCCCAGGCTCTTTAAGCCTGTTTCACAAGGTGTAAAGCAAGAAATGTACAAACTTTTCTAGAAAGTTGTTGATCTTATTATGAAAAAAAAATTATTATTTTCCCTTTGGTGACATTGGGATTATCTTACACTCATTAATGAAGCATAATAGAAGTGGAGCAGTTTTTCATCATTTTTCTACATAACATAAAAACAAGTTGGAACATTATGAGAGGTATGTACCAACTTGATAAAGAATTATCACAATATTGTAATAAAAAAAAGTACTTTTTTGCTGTTTCTTATTTTATTAAACAATAAGAAGTAAAATACGAAAGTCCATGATTTTTTATGAACTGACTTGAATGATAAATTCACATTTTTGAATTAAATTCAATGAAAACCATTATTATAATATAACCATCAACACATTTTTATTTACCTATGTTTCAACCGTAACTAGTGTTAGTATATTTTGAGAAATAAACTTTAGGTTTAACATTAAACCTATAAGACAGGAGTTCCCAACTTGTTTAGCTTAAAGCCCCCTAGACCTAAAACACCCTGGCTGAGGAAATTTTAAATAATAGCTACTCTAAGTTACATTACTCATTACAACTTGTTCTTTGAAAAAAATATCTCAAGCATCAAATGAACATTGTGTACGATATCTCAAGCATCAAATAAAAATTACTGTTAAAAATACTTTTTAGTCTGGCGTCAAGGAAGCTTTAAAGATAATATTTCTACATATGCTAAAGCCCTCCTGAAGTGCCTTGCAGATCCCTATTAAGGTACCACTACTATAACCTGCCTTAATGTCTCATGCAATTAAATACAAAATAATGCACACAGATGCAGAAGGATCTTTGTAACAATGAGTTAAATAACTATGGAGTATTTATAAGTAGAGAGTATGTCGGAGTCGAGCCTGTTCCCTGGTTTACTCACATTGAAAATGTTTCTGCAGATAGTAAGAAACTCATTTAGTACGATAATAAGAAACTCATACTAACCTTAAGATTTCTAAACAGAGCTTGGATAAAATATAAACTCCTAGCCACTTTTCTTAACACACAGAAAAAAACAAAAATCAAATTTCGGGATTTCATAATGAGGATGTTACCAGAACATAGCACTATCAGGAAATCTACTTCTTTCTGTTAAAACTGGAGGATGTTACCAGAACATAGCACTATCAGGAAATCTACTCCTTTCTGTTAAAACTATAGGATGTTACCAGAACATAGCACTATCAGGAAATCTACTCCTTTCTGTTAAAACTGGAGGATGTTACCAGAACATAGCACTATCAGGAAATCTACTCCTTTCCGTTAAAACTGGACATGTGTTTGTAGCTTAAGATTCCAGTTAAAACTATAGTGTATAAACTTCCTTTGCAGAATCATTCATTCCTTATACTAGAGCTCCAAGTCAGTTCCCCTAGTGCGTTGTATAATTGTCAGTCAGTTCCTCTAGTGCGTTGTATAATTGTCAGTCAGTTCCCCTAGTGCGTTGTATAATTGTCAGTCAGTTCCCCTAGTGCGTTGTATAATTGTCAGTTAAGTGATATTCTGAGAAAATATTTTAACACAATGGACGTAAAAATCTACAGAAAACATAAACAGCCAATAAAATTATAGATTGTCTACAGATAGGTTACTTGGTATATGAGTACCAAATTTAAATCCAAGTGCTTTTATTTATTGCATAATGGCAGTTACGGTTAAAAGTGCTTTATTGAATTATATAAAAACCAGGATACTATCACATTTTAATAAGTCAATCCAACTACTATCAATTTTGCAGCCAAATTAAAAACATGTTTCCTGTAGAGTGTACAATTTATGAAAGTTATTTTCAAATGTCCTGCTTATACTGAGACAACAACAACAAGAAAACTAAATAAATAAAGTGTTTCATCCTATTAATACATAACCACTCAACAGATGACAAAAGAGTAGTTGAACAAACAATGGTACTAGCTCAGCAATTAGTGCTAAGCTAACAACAGGATGAAGGAAAAATATAAAAGCACTTCTGTAAAGCAATTCACCAGTAAAAGTTCAGAAGCAACTTCTGGCGCTCATTTAACAAAAGAAATACATAAAAAAATCATAGAAAATATCACCAATTTATTAACAACATTCTTCAAAGAATTTTATTCAGTTTATATGGCTACACATAGTGTGTGTGTGTGTGTGTGTATATATATATATCTTCAATAAAGATTATCATTAATGATAGTATATTCCTCCTTTTGCCATCATCATGTCAACCTTTATCATATGCTGAAGATGATCTGATGAATGTATGTAATAATTTATTGATGTTACAATGTCTGTCCGTCTGTCTATTTAAATATGTGACCAGCTATGACAAGGATGGCTGAAACACTTTAAACACCCTGAATAATCATTAATCATCGTAACCACTTCGTAACATGTGGGGGGGGGGGGGTCAGAATTTCGCGTAAACTTACGTAAGGCTAAAGACTCACAGCTGTTCTCAGTATTTGTTTCAGATGTTCGCGCATAGCTACACTAGCCGTTCAAAATTTTGAGTGCTGACAAACTAGACTCACTAGAGAGGAGGCAGCTAATCAAGAGCACCCATTACTAACTCTTCCGCTACTGTAATCGAATAGTAGTATATGACTGTCACTTTTATAATGCACACATGACTCAAAGAGAGATCCCCCTTTTTTTATTTCTTTTTTTGCGGAAATAAAATTCGAGCCATATTCCCTCTATCCAACAGTCCGGTACGGTAACCACTAGGCCACGCCCGACCCAGACAGGAAGGAGGATGTCTAGTCACCAGTGAATAACCACTGCCAACACTGGAGCTACTCATTTGATTAAATAGTGGGAGTTGATCATCATTCTTATAGCATAAAAACACGGCCCTAAGGTAAGGAGAATACTTTTGCGACGATGTGTGGCGAATCATAAACTCTCATATTCACAGTACAAACACACCTGTCACTTTTGGCGCACCCACAGCATCAAAGGGCGAAGTATGTTTATGCGGCAACGGTCAATGAATTGTAAAGTCCTCAAATTCATAGACCGAACACACTAATTGTAGGCCACGCTCAACCCCTCCGTCCATTTTTGTGTCTAAAAACATTTGACACTTTAAAATGTTTGTAGGATTTTACCAATTATTTTTTTGTTTACCTTTTCTTAAAGTTTACATATATTACTTATTCACAAGGGTTTACTTATTTATTTTTTTCCTCGTTTATCTTTTCATATATAATCTTAATTGCTTTGAGAAATAAGGTTTCAAACTTAAAAACTATCTCCTGGCACTCGAACTTTTCTGTCACTTCACCTAACAAGGATTAATACCACCTTCGTATCACATCCATACAACACAAATGGCGCTGAGCAGATTCTCCTTTGTTCCACGAGTAGTGGTTTTAAGGTACCTTAAAATATCTGTGTGCATATTTTGGTTTGAAAAACAGGAACTTACATCATCACAGTACTAAGAGAGGATTAAACGCAGTGTGTTATTATTAGTTCATTTAAATGTTCACATATCTGACAACTGGTAAGACCAATAAAATATGGAGCTTAGAGTATTAGTATGCTTAAAGTTTTTAACCAAACTTTCTCTACTTAGCCAAAATCAGTCAAGGTTTTTCTCTTGTTTGATAAACACACGTTTGCAATATTATCACCTTTTAATCGTTATAAAAAATCCAAGTAGAAAGGTAACTGACTTATGAACAGGCGTTTATAAAAAACTACTTTCAAAATGAGAGTAAAATTGTTTTAATTGGCATTAAATGTCCCGACGGCTCTATTTTTAGCAACAGGAATTCTATACTCGTGGCCTTGATGGCAATTTCAAGCAGCAGCTGTCAACTGGAATTCTTTTTAAATCTATTTTGTCGTAGTAGCTTTGAAGGTATGGCTGTTCACTGACTGTGGCATTGTTAAGGTTACAAACGTGGAAAAGGGAAAATAGACTAGGCTTGTAACAGTATGCTATGTAGGGTGGTGTGTATGTATATAAGGATGGTGGTAAGATATTAGAAAAAAGAAAAACCGCTAATAACGAAATTTACGTTAATAACAAAGTAAAAAATAGTAGATTACAGAGTTACGAGAATAGTTTTATGGGTGGTTTTGAAATACAAAAAATTACCGATTAACCGAGCTCATCAACCTAC